GATAATGATGGCATCTCAATAATCCTGGTAGAAAAATCTTCATTTGATTTTATTTATTTTATTATTATTTAATTTTTACATTTTTATAATATATAATAGATAGTTGGTTTTATCTCCAGTATGTAGGGATAATTTCATTTCTCGACCTATTTCTTATAAACTGCAACAAGAGCTTTCAAATATATAAAAATTGCAGAATTAAACTGGGTATGGTGGTGATAAGCACAAACCATGGAGTCCTTTTATTATTTAGTCCTTTTATTATCTCTATAAGGGCTCAGCTGTGTTCCACAGTTATATATCAATGGTGTGTTCTGCAGAGGCACGTTACGTCGTGACGTACATACGTCGTCCACGGTTTCTTCTAGACGTGAGCCCGATTACAAGGCAAGTCGTCGCTGAGAAGAAAAAGGATAAAGGAAAGCAGAACAGAAACAGATTCTACCGCCCACAAAAAAACTGGTAAAGTTTTTAAATGTTTACCGTCTTATGAAACCATTCAGTTGTGAACTTAGAGGTTTGGATAGTTTGTCAAAATGACTGCCACGCGGCTCCCTGGGCCCGTGCAACCAGCGAAGGTTAGCCTGGCCTGTCGGCAGGCCGTCGAGGTTTAGACACGTGGGCTGAAAAGCGTTAACAACTCGCTCTCAAAAATCAGGACGCGGTGCTTTACGTTAGCTAATAGGCGAGCCACTGAAAGACTGTGCCCACCACCATTTTAGTCATAGAGGGTGTTTGTGTTCTTTTATCAGGGTCATAAGAAATTGTATTGCTGTTTTTAGTTAACAGTAAACGAAACAACAAATTTGACCTTATCGGGGATAAAAGTGAGCACGCACATCGTTAGCATGCTAACGCTAGTTGCTTGCAGCGATGCTAACAGGCCTGTGCACGTATCCAAGACAGTTGACTGACAAAAGATTTATAGTAACAAATACGTATTTATCTAAAGACGAGTTATGCTCAAAAATGTGTTCATGTTTGAACATTTACGAGTTAAAGCAATTTAATCCCGATTTCCAGACGAAACGTTAATGTACTTGTACCATCCTGCAGCTGTACAAAGGTGCAGCTCAGCGTTGACATTTACAAACAGGGACTAACAGCTAACTGGCTGCATTAACTATTCATATAAGTAAATATGGCTGATAAAACCGTCGCCTGCCTTCTGGATCTGAGTTATGTAGATTAATGTTATACAGAACTGCATGTTATACCTGCAGAGCATGGCTTAAGCCTAGCAACACAAAATAATCTCCTGAGGTAGCATTTATTTGAACTCTCGTAATCACATTAGGGGTAATGTAAACACTGTTTTCATCATCACCTTCCCGATAAACAAACATGGACGTTGTGGAGGTGCATTACAGATGACTCATAATAATTGCATAATGATGATGTTTTAGTTTGTTTATGTGATTCTTGGCAAACCTCAAGGTTTAAACAAGTGGTAAATACACGTTCTTAAAACTGTCAAATACCCTGCCTCCAGTTACCCCACCCCCCTGCTACTCATCTTTTGTGTACATTCTACTGTACATATAAAAGTAAATGTTTGTGCTTTGGTTAAAAAAAACTCATAAAGAAAATTCTGACTTTGCAAAAGTCAAGAACTTTAAAATGAAATGGTTTTGTTTTATTCTGTTGACCTAAGCACTTTTGGCAGTAGTTTGTCATCTTAGTTTTGTAGGTTGGTGTGCTCAGGTTGAGAAGGGTCTWCACCTAATTCCAACACTTGCTTTTTGATATTTCCTATTGCCCCGATATGGTGAAATCCCAGTTTGATGGCATCACGTGAAAAAGCTGCTTTGCTACTAGAATCAGACAAAACTCTTTGTTTAAATATAATAATAATAATAATAATAATAATAATAATAATAATAATAATAATAATAATAAGGAAAGGTGCCAAATGTTTTAGCATTGAATGTCAGATTCATTGCTCATTTTTTGCATTTTTCTGTAGTGGAGAAATATATTAAATCGATTGTAATTTTTTTTATTGATTCGCTGATGTTACAGTTCAGTTCACTAAGCGAATGTTGGGACCACAAAATGAGGAAGTGTCCCATTGAGTTTTTATTTATCTATGTATTTATTTTGGTGAGTGGAAAAATTTGGGCACTGTAATCCAAAAATATGTTAGTCGTACAGTATTTGCATCTGTAAGTGAAGTACAGAAAAATTCAAGTTCAAAAAGACTTGTGGCATTTGAAAGTGTGCCATTTGGCCTTTTATCAAGTTTGCTTTATAATAAAAGCTCAACATGGAAATATGTTTGTAAACATGTATTTTACATAAATTACAAAACATTTTTACTGCCATGTTTCTTGAGAAAGGCTACATTCACACTGCAGGCAAATGCGATCCAAATCCGATTTTTTTTTTTTTTTTGCCCCATGCGACCCATATCTGAACAGTCTGAACGAGACAAATCCAGTTTTTTATTTTATTTTATTTTTTCAAATCCGACCCAGGCCGTTTCAATATGTGGTTCTAAATCAGATATATATATCTGATGTTTTCAAAGTGACTGCAGTGTGAACACTCATGTCACATTCATCTGACTTTTTCATCAGTGAGGAGGGGGTGAAGGATCGATAAGACACTAACCTCARGTCTCGCTGTTWAAATCTGTAGCTCCATGTGTTTACAGCTCCAAAACAGAAGTAAAGTTGTTTTGTCTTTTTACTTTTAATTTTCCATGTAGATAGTTTGATAATAACATCCAGCCCTGGTCGCAGAGTGTATCGATCCTAAAGTTATTTGGTAGATACTTTATTTCCAGCTCGTTGCTTCATTCTAAAAATAAAAAGCTTCACTGGAGCATCCCGGTCAGAGGCAGGTTCAGATATAAACACTGAACTAAACAAGCACATCAGATAATTATTTAATCAGCTCTGATTAAACAACAACTTCAGATTTGATGTGCAAAATGTAGCATCCATGGTAGCTCTGTAAACAAACAAGCCGGCTGATGAGACGTCACGTCTTTTACTGCGCATGTGTGTCACATCAGTGCTGTGTAGCGTTCACACAGGAGTCTGATGCAGGTCACATTTAAAATGTAATGTGAACGTTCACAACAAAAGAACGGATATTTTCAAAAAATCTTAATAGAGCATTCAGACCTGCAATGTGAACGTATCCAAAGACGATCTCACTAGGGCTGCACCGATTAGTTGAAATAATCGATGACGTCGATTATGTAAATGTGTAGACACACATTTTTTTATCGATTCACTGTATTTCATAACCACCACGTGAATGTTCATGCAATTCCATTTCGGTACCTAAAAGCATCATTGCGACCGTATTGGCATAAGAGTGGTGAGTTTTCCTTGCTTGTCCTGAACGCAGCATCAAACAAGAGCGTAATGACGTCAGCAGCCGCTGCTTCAGTTCAGTCTGAAGCTTGAAAACAAGCCTCGCAGCTCCTGGAGTAAAATTTACTGAACAGACCACCTCTGAATTATCTGGTGGATTAATTGTCTTATGAGCACGATGTTCACTTGCTCAAAGTMAATAAAGTACCGCCACTTTCTTTATTTCATCCACCATTTAACAGAGACCGGTGTTAGGTCGAGCCACGTTCCCCCATCAGACGGTTCCTCCAGTGTCTCAAACAACAGAGGAGCTTCCCGACACACGTCTGACCTAAAGAGCACAAGCAGCCAACAAGTGTTGGACATGTTCTGGATGTTCAAAATGTTGCTTAAATACCTTTTATTTATTTTAACTGCATCCTCTTT